GGGGGCAAAACGCATGCCTTGCCCCCCCCCCACTCTGAGAACTGGGGGGGCAAGTGCCCCCCTTGCCCCCCCGGTTGGTACGCCCATGCTTGGGAGGGAGATTGGCGGAAAGACTCACTTTCAGTTCACAGCGGAGCATGTTTAAGGAACACGTTCCCTCACGGTGTAGTGTACAGTACATGATATAAAATATGCGGATGAATGAATCGCACCTCATCTAATGAATCGAAGTCTATGAAGCCACCAAAGCCAAAATCTTTGGCGGAATCGGGATTTCAACACTGGTTTTCCGCTGCTCTGTCATCTCTGCTCCTTCGTCATCACTTTCCCTGAAATTGTAGCGATGCTTGTTTTTGCTTTCCTTTTTTCTTTCTTTTGCCTTGTTTTTTTTTTCTTTTTTAAGCCGGAAGCTTCTGTCGATTGCATTCCTTCCTTTCGGCAACAACGCTTCTTCTTTTAAAAGCGATATTTTATATTTTATATTTTCAATGGTTTGTTTCGGTGCTCGCATTTCGGCGGAGCCATAGACCGTATTCGAGGCTCTAGAGTAGCCCTTTGTTTGCTCGGATATTTTTTTTTTAATTATTATTATTTTTTTTTTTTTACGTGTTTCGCAATTTCTGATTGTGTGTGGGTGGGTGGCGTGGGTCGGATTTGCAGCGCGCGAGCGTTCGAGAAAACTATTGTGGGGTGATGCCGAAGATGAGATTCCAATCTGAGACCTGTATGAGATGATACTTGTATTTCGTATGCCGTAGGCTTTTGGCGTATTTTTTGTGTTGTATTTAATCGACGAAGGTTTCGTTTGATCCGCCGCATATTTTCTGGTGACGAATTTTCTTACGCCAAGATTTTCGCTCGATTGGAATGCTCTCAAATTCTTCTGCTGCTGCCGCGCCGCCGATCTGGAGCGCGAAGAATTGCTTGGCTCTCATTCGCAGAGGCGCGCACTTTATACGTAGCCTTCATGTGACGTCGTTCGCGGCCATGCCAGTTTTTATGCGCCGCGAGCGTTTGGTTTGCCATGTTAGTTTCACATATCAGATGTTTAGTTCGAAGAGACCAGTAAGCAGAAATAACGCTCGGTACCCAGGAATGGCGACACTTGCAGGCTATTAATAGGTGTATTTATACCCATACTTGTACAATTATGGGCTTTCTTTTGCTGTGACCGAGGTGTTTACCAATAATCCATGTCGTCAAGACATAGGGTCAGGTTACATTATGCAATTTCGCACCTATATTCGTACTGAGAGCATCTATACTTTTCAGAAATTTAAACCTTAAAGGTGCCCCGAGGATTTTTCTGGGGTCGCCTAGATATGGCGATAACTCACTCTGTTGGCTCTAAGGATCCTAGAAATCCTAAGGATCCTAGAAATTAAAAAAAAAACAATAAAAGATCGCAAGCTACGGAGGTCATATCCGGCGATAAGAGGAGCATGTTCCGAAAGCAGGACCACTGTTCAGCATTCGAATCCTCGCGCCTTTGACCGATGGAGCCTCAGAGTGATATCTCGAATGCGCGAGGCTTGCTGTCCAATGCCCACACAGCCGGACTACAATTTAACCCAGTGAGCGCGCGCTCGAGAGCTGTCGACCGGATACATCACTCGTAGATACGAAAAAACAAACAAACAGACGTGGTGCGCTGTTTTTGAGACGATTATTGCACTATTACTTTCCTTCCCCGCGAAAAATTAATATTTTTCGACTACCTGTATTTGCTTTTATCATCTACAAAAATATACATATTTTGTAATAACAGCACTTGCAATCTGAACGAAATGTCGCCTGTTCATTGGTCTCATGTCCTGACTTCCGAAACAGTGCCGCTGCCATCGCCGGACAAGAATCACCTCGGTGTGCTCGAGCTTTGATTGCTTTTTTAATAGGGAAATTGGCCGCGCATCGTTATGATTTATAGATTTCTAGGATGCTTAGAGTCAAAAGAGTGAGGTATCGCCATATTTAGGCGATCTCAGAAACCTCCTCGGGGCATCTTTAGCGTGAAAATTGTTCTCCATGCATCAGATATTAGAAGCTCGCGTGAACGGCTAATAGCCCTAGTTAGGAATAACTTCTATAAAAATTAACGCTTTCTTGATTTTGGCGAAAGTTTAGGTGAGAGTTTATCAAAGCACTATGACACTCAAGAGAGCATTAAATTACGCTTGCTGTTAACGCCAAGGGCGCCTGATGGCTTGAAGAGCGCATTGGATGCGATAAATGGCATGTCCTGGCTAGCACCAATAATTTAGGTGGACCTAATGTAGGTGGAACTACTTAATGATCTTTTTGAATATAGAAAAAAAAAATTAGGTTTGCTTTTAACGCTTTTTTTTTTTCAACTGCATGCGCTTGGACAACTTGAATTCTCAAAAACGAATTACTTTGAAACAAAGCGGAGTCTTTTTTGCATTGAAATAAAAATTAACCCATTGTTTTACTTTTTCCGAAATTTTCCACAAAGTTGTTTTCCCGGCGGAGGAGTACCTTCCATTTTCTGGGGAAAAAAAATAGCCTCTAGAATCAGACCAAGATTCAGGGAAGGATGGTAAAACTCACTGAAGCCACACCATCGCAGGGCTACGAGTGCCTTAAACAGCTTGCGGTACCCTGGCAAAGGGGAACCTCTCCGCCTTTTCAGCTTCTCTTCTTCACTCACCCACTGCCTCCCGAAGGAGCACCCTTGTTGACAGTTTTCTGCGCCACTTCTCCCGATGACTTTGTCTATTGCTCTCATAATTGAACTTTAGGATTTAACATTGGCAGTTTGTAACAGAAGATAGCAACTAGTGCAAAAGTAAACCCTTCATTATTAAAAAAGAAAAAAAAAAAAAACCCAGAAAATTGCGTGTTGGTCTAACCCTCTGTTACTACCGCGGTAAAAAAAAATTCGATGATAATAAATATTTGTTGAATAGCTCTGGACGGTCCACCACCTGAACTGCAGTCAGCATTCTTAACGTCATTTGGGAGAAGTCGAGGAGCAATTTACTTTCGTTTTCAAGAACTGGAATTAATTTTGACCACATCCCGTAGGGATATAATTGGCTGAAGAGTTATAAGGATGCACAGCTATTATCTAGACGACCGCACATAAACCATTATCTTGGATGTCTTTCGCTTTACGAAATATGTCGGCTCTGAAAGGGGGCTGCTTTCCTACGCCTCATCGGCCTCGGATGAGAACGGAACTTTGAACATAATGAGGGACGAGTCAGTATTCAATAGTCAACACTCCATCATGCGCACACGTTGGCGAATTTGAAAGAGCAAATTTAAAGGGGCAGTGCAACGATTTTCAGACTTTGGCCAATTAACTGCAGAAATTAATCTGTGTCACCCATGCAACGAAAAACAGAAAACCGCATTTTCTTGCGAGCGCTAGTTTTTATGAAAAAAAAAAAAATGAAACAAATCGAAGGTCAAAATGACCCTCAATTCTCCACGTCGCCTTTCGAGTGACGTACTCTGGGGGATCACGTGGTTTCCCTTTGGGATCTCTCTTTAGAGACTCCAGCCGCTTCCTCTACGATTATCGACCTTTGAATTATTAGCGTCGTCGAAGGTCGCGGCGAGTGATCGACACAAAAGACGGTTCGCCACGGGGGTGACGGCAAGTGTAGCAGCGGAGGGGGACAGTTTTTTCTTTCGCTTCCGCGTATCCCCCAAGGTACGTCACACATCAGTTTCGTCAAAGAAGTAGTGCATCGATTTGGCAGTTTGTATTTTTTATATTGTTTATCCAGGCACAAGTGACCAAAAGCGCGTCACATTGCCTTCATAAACTGCTATTCCACTGCGTAATCGCAAAGAAGAAAAAGAAATATTTTCCGATCTGCAGCCGCTTGTGGTGGTTAACGGAACTGATCTGTGGCGTACCCTGGGGGATATGCGGACGTGAACAAAACCTGTTCCCCTCCGCTGCTACACTCGCCGTCACCCCCGTGGCGAACCGTCTTTTTTGTTGATCGCTCGCCGCAGCCTTCGACGATGCTACTAATCCTTTGAAAGTCGAAAATCGCAGAGGAAGCGGCTGGGGTCCCTAAAGAGAGAATTCAAGGGGAGACGACGTGATCTCCCGGAGTACGTCACTCGAAAGGCGACGTGGAGAGCTGAGAGGAACTTTGACGGTCAATTTAATTAATTTTTTTTAAATAAATAAAAATAAAATAAAATAAGACTAGCGCCCGCAAGAAAATACGGTTTTCTGTTCTTTGTTCCATGGGTGACACAGATTAATTTCCCCAGTTTATTGGCCAAAGTCTGAAAATCGTTGCACCGCCCCTTTAACCACCGCATGCGGCTGCAGATCGGCAAATATTTCGTTTCCTTTTTTGCGATTACGCACCACGGCATAGCAGTTTTTCGGGGCAAGGTGACGCGTTTTTGGTCACTTGTGCTTGGATAAACAATATAAACAATACAAACTGCCAATTTTTTCAACACTAAAACCGTTGCAGTACCCTTTTAAGATGGATCCACATCTAGACTCCTGTGGCGAAATTTAAACAAGTACGAACTTTTGCCAGACTCGCTGCTCGAGGTTTATAAAAATACAGCTGCTGAAATAGGGACATAGACGATTCCTCGAAAGCCCCCAAGCGGATGCCATCTCGGTCCTGGTGCGTTCGGTAACGATCTGGTGCTGCCGTGGCACAAATGTTTGCACGCTGTATCGCTCGTAAACATCCAAATATCTTAACTCATCATAGGTTTGGATCACCGGGGACGCCATTGTTGCAGTCGCTGACAACTCAAGAAACGCAAGGCGTTGCTTGTTATCCTCGTTCTTGCGCCTTGATTCTTTCTTCGGTGCTCTTATGGTCAAGCGCCGCAATCTCGTGGACACCGAAGGGATAATGAGGTTGCTCGGGACTCGTTACGCCCTGCGTTTTTTTAAAGTTGTCCGTGTGCATGGAGATGAACGAGTGGAGCGTCAGCTTCTGGTCTTCCCCATTTGAGGATTAACCAGAACCGTTCTCCCTTCACAGCCGACGGCTCAAGTGTACCGGGCGGGATGGGTCCTCCGCACGCTCCTGCTGTACCAGGCGCCGCAGCTGGTGCGGGACCGAAAGTACCACACGCGCCACTTCCGGCGCTGCATGGTGGGCACCGAGATGGTGGACTGGCTGCTCCAGGTGCCGCCCACCCACATGCGGCTTAACTCGCGCGCCCAGGCCGCTGGCATGTGGCAGGTGCTGCTCGAAGAAGGAGTCATCAAGCACGGTATACACTTCCTCCCTCACACTTGCTTCGAGAGCCACCGAATAGGCTACGTTTAGTCCGCGGTAACGCTGCAGAAGACAGTGTGCAGACGCTGTCTGACCTCGTGTTTCTTCCTTGTACGATGGTCAGGTTGGGCATACATAAACCGTCTGCAGACACGTTCGAACGTGCTGGAGGTGTGTCGGTAGATGATGTCCTCATAACGTCCGTAGAGAGAACCGTGTCTTTTTTGTATTATGTATATAAGGAGTGGGGCTGCGGCTTTAGAGTACCAGCACACCATTCCATTTTTTTTTCTGCTGTTGTGGGCGCCGCCATTTTGGTGCTGCTTAATGTAGAGCGGGTGCGATAGACCCTTTTCAAAAGTCCATCAAGCAACATTGGCGGTCGCCATTGCTTGGCTACGAAGCGCGTGATTGGATTCGAGCCCTCGCCGAACGCAGGCGATCAGAGTATGTGATCAGATGATTAAATGATCAGAGTATGTGATCAGATGATTAAATGATCAGAGTATGTGATAAGATAATCAGAGTATGTGATCAAGCAATGGTGGGTAGGTGATGGCGCGCGAAATTTTAAACGTGTCTATTGGCAATCGTTGCACTTCGAAAATTTATTTCTCCCCGCAGCGCGCGCTACATGAGCGACGAAAATGTCAGACTTTTTTTTGCGATGCGGCGTTTTGACGTCGGCTCCGCCGCGGAGGGAATCAGGGATTGTCGGGCGGGAGGATCTCGGTTTACCAAAAAATCAGTTCGTTTTTTTTTTTTTTTTTTTTTTTTTTTAAAGACAGTTTTGTGTTTAAACGCTTTACTGTCAAGTGCAGCGTGACCGCTGAATTCGTCCGTGGTGGCGTGAAGAGTGGAAACAGGTAACCCGAACTGCAAGCGCGCACATCCCTCTCCCCCGCGACAACTGGTCGGCGTGAACGACGAGTTGCCTAGTGTGAATACCGCTTAGACACGGTGAGCGAAAGCTCAGGCGATGTCGTCTCGCTCTCACACGGACTGTTTTAGCATTTCTAGAGGACGGAAAATCGGTTACTGCGATTTCAGATATGGTTTCACATAATTGGCGGCAATGATTCTGAGCACCAAGATGACTGCAGTATCGTTACTCGGAAGAGTAGTGTAGCTTAGTGACTCGCTTCTGCTCACATGACATGAGTCTATAGACCGGGTGTCTCAAACTCATTTGAGGGGGGGGGGGGGGGGGGGGGGGCAAGGTAACCCACCCCTCAAATTTGGAGGGTCAACATAGGGCGGTGGAGCAATAAATATATATTAAGAAAAGGAAGAAAAAAATCTGCTATGGTGTTTCACCTTGCAAATTAAGCAGCCGAGTCTTTCAACAAAACGGGGAAATTTACTAAAGAAGGAAAATCGTGCCAATTGCTTTTTGTAAACTAGCCATTTTGCCAGTCCCGTCTTTAGCTTTGATTTATTCGTACGACTGTTTCGTGTTTGTGTCTACACGCGTTTTCACCCCAAGGAAAAAATAAATGTTGCGCATTGTTCATACGCCGTGCGAAGTAGTTCTTACAGGATTTGGTTGTCGGTTAAAGAAGCGATGCACTTCGTGTTTGAAGCGTGTACGTCTTGATAATGTATCATATATCTAATCTAAAATGCACCTACATATATCTTAATTACCTACACAAAAGGGGAAGTTAGTAATGCTACGCAAGGAACCGGACTTCTTTTACTATGGTTGTTGAGGTGGAAGCAAGTATAGTGTGATTCCGAAATTTAAAATACCGCTATCTAGCCAACGCTCTGAGATTTTTGAAAAAAAAAAATTATAAACCTGAATCGTTACTATGTCGCTACATTCACTCAGATTTGAATTTCGATTTCAATATGTATCGAACGCAGTTATTTTCGTACGGTAGCTTTTGTTTTCCTGACGATATTTATAGCAGTGTTAAATATGTTAAAATGTCATAAGAGAAGAGCTGTACCTTTGAAGTGGAAATTAATGGCCGACAAGAGGTCATTACTAACGGCGCATGCAGCGCTCGATGCATAAGAACGGGAGCTCGCCGGCACGGGACACGTGCGGGCCGCGTCCCTGAGAGTCGCGGGCTACGTGTTTGAGACCCCTGCTATACACCATACCAGGCACGTAGGCAGGATTTTGTTTCGGGGGTGCGGGGCGCTTATAACAAAATGCTGTATTAGGGGGAGGGGGGAGAGGAGGTCCCAGCAAAATGGAAGATTTCGGGGGGCCGGGCCCCATAGCCCCACCCCCCACTTGGCTACGTGCCTGGACCATACTGCACGACTTGGGCTATGCTTCGTTACATGAGTTGTATATTACGTTGTAAAATGTATGACGAACTCACCGTTCAGTAACAAGCGGCACGAGTGGTACAACTGCGCACGCTCACTGCCCAACAGCCTTGCTTTTTTTATTTTTTGGTATACAGTTCCTTTGTACACAACACTTTGTAGCATAGAACGCGTACAGGATTAGCAACAAATGAAAAGGAACAACAACAACATTTGTTATAGAATGCACGCCAAAACCTCGGTAATTTGTGCAGTATGCTCGTTAATGTTGGCTCGCTTCAGCTGGCGAATTCATTTGCGTCGTCTCGCTGTTTTTGAGCCTCACGTATTCGAACGAAACTTTTTTTGACGATGCGGTCTAGACAAAGATACCCTAGAATTACTCGAAGCGCTGGTTTTTTTTCCAATGAACCCTTAGTGAACTCGACAGCAGAGCAGCTCGCCATGGTCACAGCGTAGGCAAGCTGCTGTCACGAAATAATCATTATTGTGGCCGCCGCGGACGGCGCTTACGTCAGTGACGTGACATATGTGTTATTCGTGTGACTTACTCCTGTGTCGACTATCTATCCGCTTCGTGGCACATTTAGCAGTCGGGTTATATGAGTTTCCCTGTCATACCCAATTCGCGTAACTGAGCAGAGCAGCCTTCGTATACCACGGAGCTCAAAATAATATAATCTCTTACCTGTTTCTTTTTTCTTTTTTTTTTTACTTTTCGGGGCTTTACTTTTTCGCAGTGACGCACGAGCACCAGTTCAAAGACAAGTACCTATTCTACCGTTTCCGGGAGGACGAAGAGGAACCGACCAAACTGCCCACATCCGACGACAGACTCCACGCCGAGGAAGAGCTCCAAGACGTGCTGCTCCTGCTCATGCAGCTCACACCAGACGCTGTGCTGCGCATGATCTTGAGGAAACCGTGAGTGCCCCCGGCATTTACGTAGATCCGCTTCATTTCTTAAAGGCTTTTTAACGAAACCACTTAATCCTGGAAATTGGTGTGTCCGTCCGTCTGTCAACCAGTGCATCTGTACGCCGGATTTTGCTGGGAAATTGACGCCACGTGACCCCATTTTATCGTTTGACACAAAGATCTTACTCCGTGACGTCACGGTTTTGCGTGATGCAATGAAGTCACTTGACGTCAGGTCACATGACGACAGTTATTTCTGCTGCTGGGGAAGTTATTAAACGAGGTGTTCTTTTTCGCTCCTCGACAAGACAGTTTAGTGTCTTCTAAAAAATTAACCTATACGATCGCTTTTTAATTTCTACATTGCATGCCTTACAGGACTTCTAAGATAAAAAGTCGCTAGAAATGTTTTCATGGTTCTGTTTAAAAAAGAACAAGTGTATTGGCTCGTATCAGATTCTAGTGTGCGTTGAAGATGTGTCAGTGTCAACTGCGTGGCGAGAATCCATAGTTTAATTTTAAGTTAGGTTTAAGACGATGGCAGCAAATTATGATGTTTTTCAGCCAACACCGTTTCGATATACGTTCAATGAATAATTAACCCTTCGTTCTATTATAAAGCTTCTCCTCAGTGTCATCTTCGACATTCGTCCGTTCACTAAGTGCTTTACTTGCTTTCAAGTGTCACCCTGGCTGAGCTACGGGTTGCAATATATTTCATAGAATTATCCATACATATGTAGGCAATCCAAAAGGTCAGCGAAGGTACATAAAGAGGTAGGTTAAACGCTGATTTAGGAATCTGCGGTTGAGTACGACCAGTTGTGATAAATATTTTTTACGCTCCCCTAAGATGCACCGCGCGGACCTCAATTACCATAGCAACTCGTAGTAGCATATTATTGGAAGTTGTAATTTGCGATCACAATGAAAATCGGTCACACTTAAAAACACATGTGTGGACCTCCCTCTCGACGACCGCCAAATTTGAGCACGTATTGCTAGTCACTTTTCCTGCATTTCTTCCATGTGTTACAAATGCTTCGGAAGGATAGCGTCTGATTAACAAAGCACAATGGAGAGCAAAATATGCCTTATAAATGTTAGTATAGGTCATTATGTTCTGTAATATGTTTTGTCTAACACATGTAGATATAGGCTCTGTCTGATCATACAAAGAACGGAATCATTTCCACGGCGTTCTGTGCATTATATGATTTTTTTTTTAATATTTATCAAGCACACGTCAGTATTTGAGTTTTTTCTTTTTTTGTGTCCCCATGAAATGGTATTTTGCGTGGCACTACCTCAGATTTCGGTTAATATACTCTTTATAAACACCCCGTCAGTCACCTTGCCCGGAGGAAAACGCAGTCAAAACCCCAATATATTTCAGCTTTCTCGATCACTCGGGAACTGTATTTGCCCACGAATCTTAGAGTGAAACTTATGTTTACATAGCAAAGCTTACGAAGGTCGAGCAGCCAGTGGAGGCCGGAAGACCCGTTGGCCCAGCGCTAGATTTGAAAGCGCTACGGCAGCCTTACCTTCGCTCTCCATGGCGGTCTTCCCCCGGTTATTGAATCTGTTTTACGAACAGCATGTTTTCCTTCCGCGGTCGGCCCGTAGCAATATTTTGGTTCTGCATCGAGTCAACTTGACGGGACGAGTGCCGGAAAAGATAGCCTTATTGTGAGTCGGTCGGAAAGTCGGTCAGCCGTTCTAACACTGGATGACTCATATAAGGCCGCGCTCACGTCGTCATTATCGGACGCCTGCCAACAAGTGGTTGCCCTAGAAAAAGAAATTTGTCATCGGTTTTTGGAGCGTGCGACTTGTCACGCGAGCAAAAAAGAAAAAAAAAAGTCTACACGCCGATAGGGTTGTCAGAGGCTATGCTCGAAAACTGGGTATGACCCAAGATAGCTTAGTGACACTCGGGGACCAAGAAAAGACACACAGTTCGTTGTACAAAGCAAGAAACTGTCGGCCATGCCGGGTTTGACACGAAACGGGCCAGGGAACCTCTCGTTCAGAGGAATGAGTTTTTCTTCCAAGGTCAGTTAATTCATTCTACTGGCAGCTTCCTTATGGTGCACAAAGCTTGGTCTGATGCACCTCTCCACGGCCGCTTATGAAGCAGTTCACATAGACACTCGTTGAGGGGGCTAATGTTCTCATCGGATGTTAGTTTATTCTTTTGTTAGCCCCGGTATAACTAAAGCTCCGTCTGGCATGCAGGCCTCACCTTGCCGCGCGCAATATTCGCGATCACGGCACAGTGCTCGATGCGTGTTCTGTTGCGCGAGGTGTCGATGGGAACGATGGCGATCGCCCATGTTACGTGTCCATTTTTTTGCCACTGCAGGCCCCTGGAGAGAACGTTGGATGACTTGGACCTGATTTACGAAGAGCTGCTGCACATCAAGGCGCTGTCGCACCTGTCTAACAGCATCAAGCGGGAGCTGTATGGTGTGATGATCTTCGAATCGCACGCTACCAGTGGCACCATCCGTAAGTTTTTGCTTGCTTTTGAAACTTTAAATGGAGGGAAAAGATTTAGAATCATGTGGCTCTTCCGACTGGGTCGTTCGTGGTGGGATTCACTCATTGTTTCCTACTGGAAAAATATACTGGAAAAAGGGGGCATTTTCCGTGAATATATATCTTGGCCTCGCGAATCAATGTTCCCATTTGGAGGCTCCCAAAGTTTTAGATCCGCGCTTACCATGTCCCCCACCCTCCGCCCAGGTTTTTACTTAAAAAACAACAGAGATATGTTCAGTATGTGCTTGACTTGACAAATATGCCCTTAACGGAACAGCTCACACTAGGTGACCTTGCGATGCAAACGCGGCTAATCTCTCGGACGTTCAAAAACGCATTCGTGTTTGTACGCCTGCTGAATATCCAGAGGGTGAATTACGGCAATCGATAGAAGAAGCTAAGCCAATGGCGGTTTCTCCCCGACAATTGTTGATCGAACATTGCGAGCTCTTGTTCAAATTTGAATGAGTCAGTTTTTGTATGAATCATTCCTTATGACTTTGCGGAACCACAGTCTATGAACGACCGATGTTTCAGATTAAAATAATCTGATACGACTTTACCACTGAACCCACTAGGGTTTGCCGGAAGCTATCGTGGCGTCCGTTCTGCTCAGGTAAGCTAGCTTCGTGATCGTAGGCCCATCCCACAAGCCGGTATCGTTGCGCTGCCGCTGCCGTCATGCATCTTGGGAACTGCAGTCCTTCTGCACGCGCAACAACCCCGCTGGAGGTTGGCGCGTCCCGCACGTGTGCAACGCTTAGTGAGATTGTTCTATTGAGCAAGCTCAGCATACTAGCTTTGTGTATTTGTGTGAAAGAGTTAAATAGACTCCACTTTCCCCGCGTTACACCACTCGGGGTCTATTCACATTCGGGAGCCGTCTACTTTACGTGGAGAATATTTGTACGTACTCTGCTACAAAGTGGACCAATGTGGATAAAAGGTTACAAGAGACAAAACGATTTATAGCCGAGACCGTCGCTAAGTGCCACAACACAGAGAAGTCTACGCGGTGCTACTTACATCCCGCATAGTATATCTTGCCATGATTCTCAAGTGGCTGTAAAGAAAAATTTAGTATGTCAGAATATACTCACGGAGGTTTGGCCTGGCTAGTGAAGATTTCTATAATTATTCCTGATATTAACTGGAAACAAGCAAATAACACAATGGACGCCACGAAGACTGATGCCGGTTGTAATGCCAAAATCGTTCTGTTTTGACAGTTCTTTCAGTTACCAATCTGTTGCTATAGACCCTTTCTTCATGGGCGCCGCCATCTTGGATTGTCGTCACTTCCAGTATGGGCGAAAACATTGTTTTGCCATCGCCACGCCAATAGAAGGCATTAAGGACAAAAACGTAACCGTCACCCCATTCTCGTTTTGCCTACCCTCTATTTTTTTACTATTTGCAGGTTGAAACGCTCTGATATTTTTTCGTCGCCAATACCGGATATTCCTACTTGGCGGTTGGGGGCGAGAGTAAGCGGAAAAGGTCTATATGTTCCAATAAAAGTGGGCTTCGCCTAGAGTAACGAATGCTTCCCGCGTAATCAAATTTTAGTGTATCTCATGCCTACAGAGGTAAGCGTTGGGAGTGTTCTGCAAGCGATGGTTGCGTGAACCATCGTGAATCTTGTAACAAGGCTTTGTGCTTCCTGACTGACTTGAACACCCCTTCCTCGTTTGTCCTGATAACGCAAGGTCGTACCCGTATGCGTGCGTACATTTTTGTTTGGCGAGGTAATAAAATACGCTCCTCATTTTTGGTGGTCCTTCATTTGCAAGGAGACTTGGGTTTGTTGTTATATTTTGTTTTTTGTTCTGAAAGGGACATGGTGACTCTAACCGAATTTTATTATAGCGGAAAATGCGCTGCTCCGCCCAGCAGTATAGCCCACATAACAACGGTTTTAGAAGTCTTAGAATAAGCAGTGGAGGGTCATTTTGACAAATGAGCACAAGGGAGTACCCTAAAGTTTGTTTGAAACATTCATTCAGGGGACTGTTACGTCGCTGTGCCAACATCATTGCTTCAGTTATTATTCTTCCTAAAATTTCAACACCAACTCGGGGAAACAGGCAAAAAAAGAAAGAAAAGATCCTTTCTCTATCTTCAGCGATGTAATGTTAAAAGGGTTATTTGCAGAATGAAAGTTTTCTCAAGAAATAAGAAAAACAAAGAGAGGGAAAGAAGGAAAAAAAAAAAGAAAGGGCAAGGTGGTGCCATCGTTGCGTGTCGTCGCCATATTTTAACCACGGGCTTGTATCGCTTCGTGGACGGGCCGGGCGTTATACAGCGCGTGCACGCGTGCGACGAGTAGCTCGTTCTAAAAGTCTGATCGTCCCCCGAGGATTATCGGAGTTCCAGCGGCGCACCTTCGGGCTTAGAGCGCTACCGAACGTACGCCGACGCTGCTTGAAAAGAGCTCCCCTGGGATTGCATTTTCCCGCTATGCGCGTAATTTATTGCGCACTTCAAAGAAATCCTGGGTTGTCTCCGGAAAGAAAAAGCGCGCTCGAAGGCCACCATCGCGATTTATTAAAGCAGTTCAGCCAAACGAGTTTTTGTAGGGTTTTGCTCGAAGAACAAACTACATACATTGAATAATGAGGAAAGTGATGATTTTTCTCTCGTGTTTAGTGTTCTTCATAAAAATACACATACATATATTGTATAACCGCGGGCTTCCCGCATAGTTGTTCTACGTACGCACTGTATCTGTTAATGTACGCTTATGTTTTTATTCTTAGTCGTACCTAAATGTTTATGCAACAAACACTTCCTGGCGTCGCGCGCCCTCTCACTTCTGCGAACTATGCTGCGACGGAGGACGGCACTTATGAAAGGTGCCGAAAGTAAATTCTAAAACGTTTTCTTAACGTTTTTTTTTTTTTGCTTTTTTTTTTTTTTTTTTTAGTAGGACGACATTGATTCGCACGCCTTAGATTTCCCCTCAAAAGATGCCCGGAACATCTTCGTTCAGATCTCCATAAGGCTTGTGTATGGTGGTCGTCTCCTCTGGACAATCTACGCAAGGAATTACGCCTCGCTGTTGAGTTGAAGACAAACCAATTGCAAAACAGGAGGAATATACGAACGTATCTTAGACAAAATCTCTCGTCATAAATATTTTTTGGGTATCTATTCTTCCTAGTTTAACCCTTTTTTCGAGAAGGTTTCCTGGGTATGAAAGCAAATCATCAACTAAAAAGAAAAGAAAACTTTTTAGATATTAAAACATATAAGTATCGAAAACTGACTATAAAACTAATTCTTCGACCACAGCCGTTTCCTGTATTTTTATTGATTTTTTTATTTTTTTTATTTCGCTAATGAACTACGTTACTGCTTCGGGTTCCCGGCTCCTTCTTTCCTAGCCGCTATCTCAGATTAGCGATTCGGGGTCAAAACAATTATAGTTGTAGCCTTGTTACCATCGTGAGGAAGTAAAAATACAGTAAAAGACCACGCCTTCGTGCCCCGACAGTGGCCACGAGATAATGTTCCGTGTAGAAGCAATTGTCTTGTCTGGACGTTTAGACAGCGGGAAGTGAATCGTTCTTAGTGAACGTCTGGTGTATCTGCTTTAAATGAAACATTTAGCCAGTGCAGTACGACTGCTAGCCACGTGCCCTTTAGCGTGCATCACCACGCAGCAGCGATACACGACCAGGCGTCAGTACGACGCTCATCGCGATCTAAACGAACAGGGGTGGGAACTGAACCCTGGGTTCTGCAGCGCGGGCATTTGCCCCATGTGCTTCGAGTTGTGGTGAGCGATCACGCTCGTCCAAGGTTCCCCTGTCACAGGTTCGAGAGAATTAAAAGCAAACGACCCAATTCTATTAAAAAAAATAGCATTTTGATACGACCGGTGGCCGCGCGATAGATCTACGCTTTGGTGTACGGACTCACTGAGGGGAAAGGAATGAGTCAGAGACATTGTTAGGGAAATACACGTTCTTTACTAACATAACAAATATAAACGCGACACTCGAATTCCTAAACACACAGCACACGGAGGAAGAAAAAAATAAGTTGTTCGAAATAACGCGTAGATGCTGATCCAAAAGAAATAAAAATATAGCCAAAATTATCGATGCACGCACAAGTGCTTGCAGCGTTGAAAACACAGAAGTTCGAACAAAATACATATAACGATGAAACTAATGTCTACTCGCCAATTGACACTAAATAGAACTGGAAGAATAAGTAAAAAACATATACTGGTGAGAGGCGCGAACCTGGCTCCAGGGAGGTTGTTCGGGGTCACGTTGCCTTTTGCGTCGCCGGTTGGAGCCGGAAAGTTCGAGCGTGCTCGGGGCCCTGTGCAGGTGCCTCACGGCGTAACACTCCCCCACGAGCGCACACCTTCGGAGGCCTGAGACGTCACCGCGATGCCCCAGTTGCGGCCTTCCGAGTTCTTTCCGCGCGCGGCGGGAACCGACGATCGCTACCGCAGTGAACCCCAACACCACCACCACCAAAGAGGTGCCCGTAACATGCCCACCTTTGGCCGAGTCTACCGCCAGCAACAGCGCACTATATCTTGCACGGGGAGGCCATCACGTGACTTTTTGATCCCCAGCCATGGAAAGTTTACGCTAGGGACGGGCCAAACTTTTACCCAAGCGAAAATTCGGCGCCGAATCTTGGAATCTTCGGATGCGGCAAAGGCGAACTTTTGCCGAACTTTTTTAAGGTTCGGCAAAGATTCGGCAGAAACACATTGTTACCAGACTTAACACTGATATTTAGTTTTTTTTCTGGCGAAAAAAGGTTCATGTTTTTTTTCCTAACTTAAATGCAACTTGAAAAGGCATATTGAGATTGACACTGTTATTACTAGAGAAGGTGATATTCTACAAGATAATTGTATCGGTGACGTTTGTGTGTGTTTGCTGGCAATTGTAGTGACTCCTTGCAGAAGTGCTGTGACCCGAGCTTGGGTAGTAGCG